CGTAATTAAAATTTAACAATTCTAGTACTATTCGATTCATCTCGATTAGACGGTTCGAATGTTATCAAAATCGTTAAATTTAGTTCACTGTATCACGAGATATTGTAAATTTTGTTCAGAATTGGCATTTATTTATAATTACTTTGATTTTGGGCTTTGTAAATTCCCCTAAATAATTCATGCAATAACAACAACTTTTGATTTAGTTAAACAGGCACAAAAGATGTAATACCCTTTTTTCAGAAATCGATTCTCAACGTGAACGTCCGAAGAAAGGTGAGACGAGACCGTCCGCCAAAGGAAAGGTGAAAGTGAAGCCAAATGTAATATGTTTTACAAAGAATTGCGCCAAAGGAAATTTTATTGATAAATATTTTTTTTTAAGCCAAAGGCAATATGATTTTTATTTTTAAATAATATATTGCCAAAGAAAAATAAAGCAAAAAAATACTATAATTTTTTTTTCCTTAAAGAATTAGGCCAGCATTGGAAGGCGATTAAAGAAACTAAGCAACGTTAATGGTGATTCACAGGGATCAAAAGAAAACGAAGATAAAACAAAGTTCAAAGAATGGAAGTCAAGGTTAAAACCAAAAGGCTCTTTATGCGTCAGATTAAAGGTTACCACCTCAGACGACCAATCGATAGGTGACGCTCGCGTCACCTGAAAATTAGAATCAGAGATGCATCCGACTTCAATACTTTTTTATTAATAAATATTAAAAGATAAAAAAAAATTTATATAAACAATTCTGCACGTAATCAATGATTTTTCCTGATAAGATTCTAGGTTCACTTCTAAAGATAGTTCTGCAATAAAATAGGAAAAGTAACTCTAGTGATGATTATAATAATTTAAATTTTCGTGATATAGTGATTGATAATATTTTATACTTCAAAATTTAGTCTATACAGCAGCAAATCTAAGATCATTTCGTTGTAATAAGTCAGTAAATTTTTTTTAAAAGTTCAAATAAGAATTATTTAATAGAAATTTCCAAAGAAAAGCTTTTTTTTTTAATACATTATATATAGATAAATTAAATACAAAATGATTTATGAAATTGCAATTTTCATATACCAGTAATTTCGTATACAATTATTAGATCATCTATTATTTTGCATTACTAAAAACATTATTAACCCACTCATCTAAAGCTATAATCAACTTATCTTCCATTCTTTGCCTAGAATAAAAATGATCAACGTCTTTTAATTCTTTAATAGTCCATAATGCCTTCTCTTCCACTTTATTGTCTTTAATCCATTGCTTATATTTTCCTACTCCTGTAAATTGATCAGAGTCTCCATATATAAACAATACACGAGAATTTGAAGTAAGAATGGTTTGTATATAATTCTTATAAGTTGAAGATCGAAAAAATGTCAAGAACCAAGTTACAGAAAGT